CTCCGCCTGGGTCTGACAACATGAACAAGTTGCAAAAAATTGGGTGACATCACTTTTCTCCAACTGAAGAAGACCGCAACCGTAGTAGACGCAACACCATCTTGGTCTTTATATTCTTGATTGAGCTATAATTAATTAAGGATGGATATGAATTTTTCTTGATGAAAGCCTATTCCTCCTTTGCCTGCAGCCGGACTTCGCTTGGTCTCTGGGCCTGGAGTCGTCGACTGTTGTGACGGCCGACTTGACGACCCCAACAGACGTCATGCTTTCGGCCTGCGTGGCCGGGGCCATTGGCCGGACCGAGGCGAGAAGGAGCCATTCTGAAGGGTCGAAAAGTGAGATCAAGGATTGCCCGACCGGTGACATGCTGCATGAACCGTCGGAGCCACCACGACCCTCAGGTCTCACCGATGGTCAGTCTGGCGGCATGTATCCTGATCAGGTGCTGGCCGGCATTTACGACACCGTCTCTGGGCCCGATCTTCTGCCAGGCCCCAGCGACGAGCTGGCCTCGGGTCACCTAGGCGCCGCTACCGCTGCCGTCTCGAGCTTCTCGATTGACGACCGGATGTTGACGGCCACCGATGACGGCCTCTTGAAAATGGAAGCTACTGAAGATCGCTTAGTGGAGCCTGGCATTGGCGGCTCGGGAGGCGGCTGTGGGGGCAACGGCAGCAGCAGCGGCGGCGGAGGCGGTGGTGGTGGCAGTGGTAGTGTCGGTGGTGGTGGTGGTGGCGGCGGTGGCAACGGCAGCACTGGGGAGGGTAGCGGTAGCTACGAAGGTGTGACTCGCACCGATTCGGACGGCCAGTCTGGAACGGCGCTTTCCCTTCGACCGGTCGTCTTCGACGAGAATGCACCTCGGCTGGAGGCCGTCGGCTTCGAGGCTGTCGCCTCGAGTGCCCAGACAGCCTCGGTCGTTGAGCGTCAACAAGTGGCATGCGTTGCTGTGCCAACGTCTTCGGTGAAGAGCAACCTTCCGACGGCCGTCTCGATGAGCACCCCCACCTCACGCTCCTCGGGACAGGGCTGCACACGTCGGGGGGGGATCGAGCGTCTCTGTGACACGTTGAAGGCTAGTGTACAGAGCCTTGCGGCTTTCGGCGGTGGCCTTGGCGACCGAGTGGCGGCCGTGACGGCGATCAGCAGCAATTCGCGTCACCAACATTCCGCTGGGCACATGGTGATGCCGACGGTGGCAACTGCCGGTGGGCACGCAGGCTTTGGTCGGTGGAGCCGGCTGTTTCAGCCCATTGAGGAGAATGACACTACTGCGGCATGTGAGCTTAGTGGCTGTGATAGAGCAAAATTGCGATCGACGTTCGAAGGAAATGAAAGGGGACATATACTCTGAAACTCTAAATCATACTGAAAAAACACTATTTATTACCCTATCATTATGCCCGATTACATTCGATACACGATTGATGTCAATCCCTAAATAACCTAGTGTATATAATTTGAGCGTGTATGTATATGTCTTGGTATTTGTATGTGTTGGTTTCGAATCACTTTGGGAGTGCCGATAAGACGAGTAGACGATGTCAAAATTGCAGCCCATTCGGAATGATAAAACATTGTAGCTAAGTGAAATTCAACAAAATCAGGAAGCTTACTTTAATCTCTGTTTTAAATTTCTGTTATTAGCCCTTAAATTACCCCCAAGTACTTATTTAATAGTATTTTATAGTCTCAGAAGTTATTTTCAATTACCTGTGGCTAGAAAACAAAAGAAAGATTTTGCACCCTTGCTATAAACTTGCATTTCACCCTAATAATTATATATATAATATCTATTATATTTATATATTTTATAGGCAGAAGTAGGATTCAAAAAAAAACTTGTAGGCCTTGAATACAAACTGTATTTATCCTAGGTCGCATAATAAGTTGAAGGACTGAAAGTCGAATGTTTCCACAATGACTAGGTCTCATTATCAATGAAATTCACTTAGCCTTTCTTCTCAGGAGGTATTCTTATCCAGATTTGATGGCAGTTTCGACCTCGCCTGGGTCTCATTAACGCAGTTTCCATTCCCATTGGGAGTTCCTTTATTCTAGATCTCTTGGTAGTTTCGAAGCCCAATTTATCTTATTACTTCTTACGTATGATTTTGAAAGGCGGTGGAAAGGGATTCGTAAATTGGCCTAACTGATTACTGAAGGAGGATTGTCCTGAACTTGTGCCTATTGGCTTGTGCAAAGAAGGCCTCAGCTAACCGTCCTGTCACCCAGATAACTCCGTGGTGAGCTTTCATTCGTTGTATGATGGACATCGTCAGTGCAAGCAGCCATCATTTATAGAAAATCATTAAAAAAACACGAAATCAACAGAGGTTGACGGCCGAAATTCTACTTAATTCTTATATCTAATCTTGTGATCTTAATGAGGCTTTGTGTGATTTGTCTGGCTACATTGAGCTTGCCTTATATGAAATGTATTATACTGAAAATTTTACGTATGTGGGTTTGCGTATTGCGTTTATGTAATGCCCAATCCACTTATCTTAGTTTAGTGTTTTTTAATGATTATTCGTAACTAATGGTTTCTGGCTCTGACGATGTTCGTCACGACGGGTCATACAAAAATTCATCACAGATGGATCAGAATTGCAGGACGGTGAGCCGAGGTCTTCTTCGCACAATCAAGCAGCCACGAGTCCAAGGCGATCCTCCATCGCTATTCGTAAAGTCAACTTTCGAATCCCTTTCACCGCCTATTCAAATTAAATTTAAGGTATGCCAGCATCAATCTACTAAAGGATTTTTCGAAACCCAGATTCTCTTATACTGTCTGTTTATATATACCTG